TGACAGATACTTACACAAAAAAGGGCATCAGTTGAATAAGAGTCTCTTTTTTGGGGCTGGCTGTGAATTCTGGCACAGTTTGAATAACTTTGTTCATAACATTTCTTAAATAATTCTGTAGCTGTTTGCGCCGCTCCTCTACAAACTTTGCATCCTGCATAAAGAAAAAAAGTTGAACAGTTAAAAAAAAAAAAGGCTTTTCTTCCCCCATCCCAAAATGCCAAGCAACAATCACCACTGACACACATTTTGACTGATGATCTATGCTTAACACAGCCGTCTGTACACAGGTTGTCAACGACAACTCTGTAGTCAAAACAGACAGAAGCAAGTACTGTTCAATGTCATGTAAGTTAGCAATGGATAAAACCCTGACTCACTAAGGTTTATCTGTGCCTCACTGACATGTCCTTGGGTATACTCAATGTATTTTTCACGGGCTTAGGAAGACCTCTTTTTTTTTTAAAGGACTGCTTCCTTAATGAGGCCCCCTTCAGGGCCAGCAGTTTTAAAGTCGTTCAGGGATGTGGCAGTATTTCTTCCTTACAGAAATCTTAACTCCTCCCCTTCCCTTTATTCCTTCTCTCCTCTCCACATACTTCTCATAGATTGGGTACATGCACTCTTCAAGAGACCTATATTTTGCTAACTTGACTTAGTACAACATATTACTAAGGAGTTTTTTATTTAATATTTTATATACTATAAACTGTATCTCAGGCAGGGCGTTCAGCTCTGCAAAAGAACATTTTATTTAAGCTTCTGTAGTGTTTTAGATCTCAGTTTTACACAATGCTGGAACCAGTGAATGAAGTAAGTATACCATTTCTCTTTCCACAGAGAGACTGAAATCCTAACAATGGGTAGGGCTTCTAGGACTCTGTAACTTCACAACCAGCATACTTTTGCTTCTGCAGGGAGTACAATTATAGTAAGCTATAATACAATCTGTCAGTGCACTAGAGTAAGACTGTAATGGCTCACAGAGAAATCAGACTGATTGTTTTGTGCTACAGCCAACAAGCTATATCTCAGAAATTCAGATATTCTGCTCACCTGGTTTAAATGTCAGGATATGCTCTTCATGCATAAAGCTTCACACCATTATTAGACAATAATAGCTCTCAAAAGAAGACTAGCATCCCTATTCTGGGTAAAATGTGTCTAATCAGCCCATGTTATTAATCTATTTGAGAAAAATGCCTTAGAAACGTACAAGTTCCAGTTTCTTGCTAAATACATTTTAAATGTTCCCAAACTATTTCCTTTCATTAAAAAGTAACTATGCTGCATTGCCCAGGATTTCACTTTGAGGCTTGCTGCTCTCATCAAAGAGTCTTGTCTGATTAAGGAAGAGTGTTATGAAGCTCTTAGGCTTCATCCAGCATCATATTGTCAGGGCAGGGGTAAGTTGGAGGGTCTGGGTATACTGAAAATAAAAAGGAGGAATACTACAAGATATTCCTCAAAAACTAATCTAAATATTCATGTTGCCCAGAGCTGAGTGGAGGAAGTGGCACAGCAAAGCCCCCACCTACTTCTAATACCAGAGAACTAGGTGTGTTAGGTCCTGATGGAAAGCATCAGGCAGCTACTTCTCTGCTCCTCTCACAGACTATGGAAGGGGATGAAGCAGCTGCCCGCCCCCCATGCCTTCCCCAGACTGGGGTGACCCTGGTCTCTGAAAGGCACGGGAGCCTTTCCCTGAGGCTCTAATTCTCCAGGACAATTTAAGCTGGGGTAAACTGTACAAAAGTTCATTCTCCCAGGAGAATTCTCTTGGGACACTGACTCCTCCCTGGCTGAAGTCGGTTTATTTTCTCCTAGAACTGCCATTTTTTGTTTGGGACAGAGTATGAACATTTTTACATTTTTGGTTTCTACCAGGATTACAGCAATTCTCAGAGCAGAAACTGAATATCTAACTCACAGTATCAGGAACATCAGGGCTAAGTACAGATAGCCAAAAAGCCTGAGGCTGAATTGATTCAATCCTTGCAGGTTACTCTAAGCTGCATAGATTGAACAGATAAGCGAGTGAACAGATACTCACTTTTGATTCAGCCAGAAACCAAGGGGCGCTAGAGCACAACTCCCTGCTCAGCTGGAGCAGGTAGCTAGGGCCAAGGCTAGACTGCCCACCCTACAAGGAGAAGTTTGTGGGGGAGGTGCAAAGTATCCTGAGACGCTGGGAGACTGTGAGTTAACTTGAATCTGGAGGGGATCTGGGACGGAAGTTCATCAAAATGATTTAACCTAAATCAGCTAAGTTTCATAATACATCCATCCAGATTTAATCTTAAACCAGCTTTTGGCCATTTTGAAAGTGGTTTATGTGTACTGAACTTTTGTTGCATTATAGCTTTCAACCAGTTTCCGATCACTTATACCGGTTTATGTGTAATTTTTGTCTCTGGCCCAAGGTTCCTTCATCCTTGTGTAACAGGGACCCAGAGGCTCCCATTGCTTGAAGGCAGAGGCAGTAGCAGGAATATCCTTTGGTTGGAAGGGACTAGAGTGCATTTATTGACTGGGTGCAGGGGAATAGGCAGCCAGGGACTAACAATGTCTATTGCTGGGCTACTAGCTCTGCAATACGACAATCGGGCAGATCCCTGGTAAGGCAGCAGGAGAAGCAGTTGCAAAATGTCCTGGAACTTAGATGCTGGGCCCTAACAGGAAACCACTGTGTGTGGGTATAGCTGAAGCCTAGCCTGGAAGGAAGTCAGACAGGACCAGGGAGCCCAGGGCCTAAAAAGGCAAGATGTGAGTGGAACCCAGAAGCCAGGTCAACCACAGTGAGCTGAGGCTAAGGGGCCGAGAGAAAAGGGGCAGAAGCCAGATGGGCTGAAATCCCAACAATGACAGAGAGCCCTGAAGAGGCCAGACCTGACTGTGATTAACTATTAACAGCTGTGAGGCATGCACATGACTGTGGGGGTGGCAGGAGGTCATGAATAGCCCTTTGAGGCAACTGGTGCCTGGGGGCACAGACAGGCTAAGGGGGCCCACTTAGTACTCAAGGAGGGGGATTGGGACCAGCAGGGTCTGAAAGGCTCCTGCTGACTGTCTCCCTTATTACATATCAACTAATTACATTGACCTGTGGCAGGCAAAGAAAAGGGAGGGAGCCAGAGCACAGAAGGAGTCATGCAGCCACTAGGGCATCACAGCCACCCTGGGGGCCCAATCCTTGCTATACCTTGTCTACAACAGATGCATCTCAAGCAGGTCCAAGGAGGTGATCCTCCCTCTCTATGCAGCATTGGTCAGGCCACAGCTGGAGTACTGCGTCCAGTTCTGGGTGCCACACTTCAAGAGGGATGTGGACAACATGGAGAGGGTGCACAGGAGGGCCACTCGCATGATCAGGGGGCACCAGGGCAGGCCCTACGAGAAGAGGCTACAGGACCTGAACCTGTTCAGCCTCCACAATAGAAGGCTGAGGGGGGATCTAGTGGCCTGTTACAAACTAGTCAGAGGGGACCAGCAGGCATTGGGGGAGCCCCTGTTCCCCCAAGCACTCCCAGGAGTGACTAGAAATAACAGTCACAAGCTGGCAGAGGGTAAATTCAGATTAGACATCAAGAGGCGTTATTTCACTGTCAGGGCGGCTAGGATCTGGAACCAACTTCCAAGAGAAGTGGTGCTGGCTCCTACCCTGGGGGTCTTTAAGGCAAGGCTTGACAATCACTTTGCTGGGGTCGTTTGACCCCAGTACTCTTTCCTGCCATGGCAGGGGGTCGGACTTGATGATCTGCTCAGGTCCCTTCTGATCCTTCTAACTATGAAACTATGAAACCTTTCATTAGGTTAACTTAAAAAATGCATAAAGATAAATATCTTAAATTAATTTTGTACTACTCCTGCTTGGTGCAACCCGCTCTCTAATCAGTCTGACTACTCAGACCAAAAAGAGAAAGAAACAGCTTGCTCCATACTCTACTGAACTGCTAAAGGCTAAACAAGTGTGCTGAACAGAATTCTAGGCAAGCTGCTAAGAACTACCAGAAGTAGGAAGTCCAATATATATAGATACACAATATTTAGGATGTAGGGAGTATTTTTAATAAAGGAAATTTATTTATGTATTCCAATGTTTAACTAACACTTGATTTTGTTTTCCCTATTGAAACTTTAACATCACTGATGTAAGTTTTATATTTCCCATTTGCCTGGTTAGTACTGACCCATTTTCTAAACTGATTCAGTGAACAGTAAATCTGCAGAGATTTAATATAGCACCTACTGAGCTGTTAAACTGCCCCTGCAAGATGCTAAAGTACATCCAACTCTAATGATATACAATATTAACTTTACTTTTAATTAAAATTTTGCCCCCCTTCTTCTATCCAGATGCTGCAGAACAGGTAATCCCACACTTTTCATAGAATGAACCACATTTTAGCAGTGAGATTACCTCTTGGACTGCTTTCATTTCCATCTGTAATCAGGGAGAACCTCTTAATTCTATAACACCTCTGTGACGAGTACTGAAATTGCTTTATATAACAAAGTACTATTGGGAATTCACATTTAGCTATCTTTTATGTGATAACAGTTCTGCCCTTTTTGAATACAGTTAATTGCATGATCTCTGCTCTTGTTCTTCATCTCACTGTCCACCTGCTTTACTGCTTTTTCCCTTCTGCTCCCCTGTACAGTTTTCTCTGCTGACCCCTTCTCTACAGTAACGTAACTAGGGTAGGGTGACCTGGGCAGCTGCCCTGAATGCTGATTTGGGGGTAGGAGGCAGAAAAAAACTGCCACTGTTGTACAATCATGCCAGAAGCATGGCAGTAGCTGGAAGTCTCTGCTGCCCCACATAGTGCAGCTTCCCCAAAGCACCACGCTGAAGTTAAGCCTCTGTTTCTGGAAGTCCTTTCCTCTTACCTGTTTCTTCTCTATCATCTCGCTGATCCACTCTGCTCTGCTCCCCGGATACTGTCTAGTTACCTACTCCTGTATTTCCCTCCTTCTGGGGGAGTTAGACATGACAGTCTTCTCCTGCTGTAAATGGCTCTCCTAGCTCTAAAGGCAGATTTCACAGCCTATTGGTAGCTTTTATTTCTGATTATAGTGGAAGACCTCTAGTTTTATGCCTGAAAAGGTAGGGGAGGGCTGTCTGTTCATTTTTTAAATTGTGGTAACAGA